TAATCATCAATCAGTACGAAAGTAACAAGGGTCTGATTGAATATATCAAGGAAAACTACTAGATCTATATCTGATCTAGTTTAGATTAAATTCAGATTTATATTATGTTATTAATCTAACCAAATATATAATATTCCAACTCTAGTCGACTTTAGTCTTTACTTAGTTTCAAAAAAATTAAGTTAAAAATAAAATGTATTAAATTTAACCATGGCCCCTTAGATCATAGATTGGAATGAATTCGGATAATGTTTCTATGGTAATTCATTCGCGGTAATGTTTCCACGGTAATATATTTGCAGTAGACTTATTTCTTATTGTTTCTTCTTTGTAAGACATGCGATATTATGACAGCAAATTCGTTCTAACTGAGGGAAACCTTTCAAAAGCATTTGATTTATACCTTGTTAATCATATAACCTGTCAGATTGATTGGTTATCAACAGAAATGACAAATTATTAAATTTTATTTAAAAATATAATAAACATTCAAATAATTTGCTGAATATTCGAATTATTTGTGCTATTCTAATTGAATAATTCTTTATTTTTAATCGAACGAAACAAATAAATTACAATTATTATTCAATCGAAATGAATAATTAACTATTCATATTTTTTACTAGTTGATTAGATTTAAATTATCCAAAATGAACCGAATGTTCCATATTTTTGAATGGACCTAATTTGGAAGAACAAATTTGCTGTAAAATATTTCCAGTAATGCATTCGTGGAAATATATATCTATAAGTACAGATCGATATTTGGGGTAATACCTTTGGCGGAAGAAGATCGCGGTAATCACATGATGCACAATAGGTTAGTAGTTAACAAAATGTTTAAAATTTTTACACTCGGATAATTTTAATTTTTAAAAAAATATATATTTGTAATATTATATTAAAAAATTATCAAATATGAAAAGAAAAATTCTCATCATTTAGTCTTTTAAATTTTAAAAAGTATACATGTATATTTTCATACATAGGGTAAATGCCCTTCAAATAAAATATTTTTTGATTTATAATATTTGTTAATGGGTGGTGGCCGGATAAAAATGTTTACATTTATAATAAACATCTGCAATAAATAATATATATTTTTTTATAAAATTGTGGAATTTTGTAATAAATACATTAAATAATTAAAAGACTAATTAACATTTTATTTTAAAAATATAATCATTTTTAAAAATTTATTTAGATGTGCTCAAAAAACCATTTTCTCAAATAGAAAACACTTTAGGCATGTCCAAATTAAATGTTAGAGGGGTGCTGATCATATTAAACGAGTATTTAATATAGAAAAACTATTGCTATATATAAACGATCTTGTTTATTCTGATAAAAACTTTGAAAAACCTTACTATTAAAAATTATGAAGAAATGATTAAAAACGAATATACTATTTAAATTTATAAACAAGAAAATCTGGGATATCGATACGACATGATGAAAAAGGAAAACAATTTATGCAATCTTTTTTACAGATTAACAGGCACTTTCAAAAAAAGTAAAATAGCGGCGTTACTCTTTAAAAAGTATCGCAATGGTGACAATCTTACTATTTATACAAAGTACCGCGAATTGTAACGGCGTTATCATTGTTGAGCAAACGTTAATAGTTCTAAATAAAAGTTAAGATTTTCAGGGTTTCGGTTAGGAGTTAACTTTTTTCGCTAATAATGCTAAATTTTCTATCTCATTATTTTATGGATATAATAAAAAAAATTTGATGAGAGTGTCCCGGCACTATTATAATAATCATTTAAAAATAATTCAATAGTCAGGCTCCGGGTAAATAAAAAATATAAACCAAGATAGGAGGTAACCAAGTAAAATTATTATGAAGCACACACACAATAGTCGGTTATCTACCTACAATATTATCTTTTATCTTTATACAAAAATTGTAAAATTGAAATATATTTTTTAGAGGGCAATGTTCGATTTTTTCGTTAAATTTTATTATTCCCTTCAAATTACCATCTTCTTATCTTTAAAATGAGTAGGAAATCATTAAATTTATTTAATAATTTTTATTTTAATTTTTATACGTTTTTTTTTGGTAATATTATATTTTGTCTGCCAAACATTAGACTGGTTGTTTTATGTTATAATTTTTTTTGGATCATACTTTGGCATAAAGGTATATTTTTTTGTGGGATCCACTCAATTAGAGCAATTGCTTAGCTTTTATTTTTTATTATTTAATAGACGCTAATTTAAACCAATAAATCATTAATAATTATTTATCTAAACCCAAAATAATATTAAGCAAGCCTCTAGATTTAGTTAATAGATGTCTAAACCATTCTGCCATCTATGTGCAAAATTTCTAGCCTTAGGTCATATTTTTTGGCTAAAATATTTGTTTAGCCGTTTTAAAAAATCGAATCATTTAACAATAATTAATAAATCTCTATATGAGATGGATATGGGTTATAATTTATGAAGCTTTAAATTCTGAAACAAACCTCATCTAGGCGGTAGCTTAAGAGAGAAGATAAAGTTAAAGGTGAAAGGGAGATATGGTTTAATTAAAGATGAGGAAACAAATTACCAAGATTGGTCTCCGCTAACGAAAACTGATTCGTTTGATTCTACTATCTTTATTGATATTATTTATTCTTTTCGATTTATTTAATGGATATAGAAGCAAATCAGTTAAAATCTCGTTATATTTTCAATCAAGTTATATGCCGAATCTCATATAAAGACGCAGTTCGGAACATAAAGCTTGCCAAACTTTTAGGCACTAATTATCAATCTGAGCCTAATATGTATTGCTTAATTATATTACTGTTTTATGGTTTAATCTGTTATTCATTAAGAAAATAAAAATATTCTAAATTGTGTATCAAGAATTCAAGCTAGACGAAAAATATAGAAGCATTAAAGCTATAATAATAAAAAATTAAATGTACAAAATATATTTAAAAGAATAATATCATCAATTATAAAGATGAACTTTTTATCAAATTTTAAAATACCAGACTCGATATCTCTACCTACAGATTTGATACTTTAATAATTTAGTAGCTGCAGCATAAGAAGGTAGTAAAAATAAACTTGCGACATCTTTAGAAAATGTGTTACTAAAATAAGATGGATTGGTTACGATGCAATTATAATCAGAGTTTAAATGTTCTTTAAAATAAAAAAATTTCAAAGATTTTTCATCATAGAAGATTTTTTGTTTTTTAAAAAAAGTGGATTTTGGAAATTATCGAGTAAGATTATTGCTCCAATTTTACCTAAAATAAAATTCCAAATCTTTTTTGTAAAAAATATTTTATAACTAAATATTTTGTGATTTTTATGCATCAAAATTCTTTTATAACGCAGATTTTTTTAAAAAAAATTTGGATATTTTTTAAAAAATTTATGTATAATTTTTTTTTTCAAACTCTGTTTAAAATATATAACAGTGCTAAGGTTGTGAGATTGCTTATTAAAATTATACTAATAATAGGTGCGATTTTACCCTTGGAAATAGAAATGATCAAACGTCAATCCCATACGAATTAAAGACTTTGGGAAGCGTTTCGTTTTTTTTTCAATCTTTTCTATAATATAATTTTTTTTTGTTTAAAAATTTGATTAAAATGTTAAATGCACCTATATTAAAGTATTGTTTATTCAAAGATTTGTAGTATATTTTCACGCACCTTTTTAAGTAGTAGAAATTATTTCCAGATGATTTTATGAAAATAAAAAATTAAGGAAGGGTTTGTAGCATCAATTCAAAGATATGAATTTTCATATAGACATCACTATAAATGTACTCCGAGAATAAATTTTTTTACCTAAACATATTTTTCATGAGAAGTTCAGCCCCCCCCCCTTCTGTCATTGCTACCTATACTGACGAAATGTTTATCAATACAAATCAGCTGTGATACGCCATTTCAGTTTACCATGTAAATAATTTAAATTTTATGAAAACCTTTATAAAAAAATTCAGAGTTCCCTTTATTTATGAAAATTATTATATGGGGAAACGAACCAAAATGGTGCATGATCAGCTGATTTGTTTTCAACGATGCTTCAAAATGCATTTTAATGAAAGAACATTCGGGCTTGGTTAAGTATTATTGTGTAGCAGAAAATAATCATCTCCGATTGAGGTTAAATATGAAAATTTAATTTTTTTTACTAAGTTTTGTACATTTTTCCTAAATAAATGCTAAATATTTTAAAAAATAAAGAGAAAACGTAAAAAAAATTGGGGGAAAAACAAGAAAAAAAAAGATTACTTTTAATTTTAAAGAAAAAATAAATGAACTCTTTCCATGCTTAGCGATGCACGCGTCTTTAGATTGAACGAAATTAACGATTTTAGCTAATAATTTACAGGGGAAATCAGGATCGGTTTTCTAAATAGATTTTTTCATTTTAAATTATTTTTTGGCTTTAATATATCTTTAAAAAGATCATTGATAACATACCTATTATACCTTTGATCTAAATTTTGAATAGAAAAAAAAATATGTGTCATTCATAAATTATATAATCTCTACGATTTATTTAACCTTATTATTATATAATGTATTGTCTTTTTTTTATTAAAAAATATTTTATTATAATATCTTACAACCCTATTTATTATCTGACCTCTACATTTTTTAAAATGTAATAATTTGATTTTTTTTATATAATATTATTTTATTAATATAATTATAATATATAATAAATAAAATAATATTCATATATAAAAATGTATCGAGCTAACCCCTAAAGGGGATTTTTATATTTTTTTTTCTTAATTAATATTTAGGATGTTAATGATGTACTATAAAATAATACTTTTTTTTAGATTATTACTATATTTATAATAAAATGTATTTGTAAAATAAATATTTATTTAATTTTGAAAAATTTATCCAAACATAAATTAATTATTTTATAATATTTAAAATTGAAGTGAGGACACTCAATTTATTAACATTATTTTTTATTTATAGTAAACATATATAAAATAAAAACATAGACCTAAACAAAAATGCAAAATTATCTAAAAAATATTTTTTTCTCCCCGTAAAAAGTAGAATTTGATGATATTAACATATTATCATTTTTAATTGGTTCTACCATGATGAATGAATTGATTGGGCCGCTGGAAATTATCCTGAAAGGGGGCGCTCCGTGGGGATTCTCTATTAAAGGCGGAAAGGAATCCAATTCTCCTCTGTATGTCTCTAAAGTAAAATTATTATAATAATATAGTATATTATGTAGGTCGTATCAAATTATTTAATGAAAATGTGGTTAGCACTAAATAAAGTTGAGCACGTCCGTATGAATCCCAGAAAATTTTTGCCATTAACTTGTGCTTATTTTTTGAATTTATTTGTTAAAAATCAATATAAAAATTATTATTAAATTAAGACTAGTTCAAAAGATCACGGCGGAAGTATCTAAGAATTTATATTGTGGGCACTCTCTAATATATATTTCTAGCCAAATTAGATTTATTGACATATTCTTAATTCCTATTTGTATAAGTTATATATCTTGTTAAGAATGTTGATGCGATATGTATCATTTTTTAAATCAGATTTTATAGGAAATGCATTCCAGAATATTGAAAACATTTTGATTTATTTTTTTTGTTACATTAAATAAAACTATTCTTACTCTTATATTAAAAATAATATATACATAATGTCTAAGTTATATTTATAATAATAATATTATGTATAATATTAAGGGGGGAAAATTTAAAGTTTAGTCAAAAATATGTGTTTATTGTCAAAATTAATTATTATTGAAGGAAAATAATTCAATCGTGGTCCAAACGATTAGCAGTATTTTTTTTAAACCAAAATGAATGAAAACGTTGTCAAGTAAAATTAAATTGTTTTTTATTCATGATAGAAAAATAATTTGTCATATTTTCGGGGTTATTCTTATACATAAAATTAACAAGGTTCTAAAGAATATTTTTCTTGAATGGGAACTGTGAAATGAGCCACATTTGTTGCTCATTTAGTTGGGAAATTGCATATTTAGATCACTTTTCATCATTATTAAGATGAAATTTGTGAATAAACCGATTTAAATATGAATTAAGTAATAAATCAAGATTATGCAATTTATGAAATATGTTAATAATTGATAATGACTAAATTAGGTGATATTAATCATAATTTGTGCCAAAATAAATCACACAACATTAAACTCTATATAAATTACTTGCGTCTTTTGTAAAAATCAGTTCAAGAACTAGTGAAGATTTAATATATGGTTGCGGTTCTGATTCTTATGAATTTTAAAAGAGGGTTTTAGGTTCTGTGTACGATTCCTAGATTTGTCTCAGGTTCTGATTTTAGCTCCGATCTTTGGCTAAGGCCAGTTGGCAAAAAGGGGTGGAATTCCCTAAGCAAAAACTGCTTTTAGTGTAGCATTAAATTATTACTTTTTGGTAACGATTTAATTATTTTGTTTGTAAACTTTGATATTAATATTTTATAATTTTTTTAGGTACACTTTTTGTAAATGATTTTAAATTTTTTACGTTTAAATTTTGATTAATATCAAAATAATATTAAGTATTCATTTGAATATATGGTAATAACTTCACAACATTATCTTTAAAAGTTGTATCAAGTCTTAGACCTTACGTTGAAAATGGGACGAGGAGAGTGTTCAGCATTGTTTAGTTTAATTTGAGCACGCCCAAAAATATTTCCTACGAAAAGTTTTTTTTCTATATGTAGTAAGATATGGATAAATTCAGAGTAGTCTAATTTTTCAAACCCGGCCCGGCCCGAAATTTTTTTATAAAAGTTTTGCCAGCCCGAACCCGAAATTTTTTTTAAAAATGTTTTACCGGCACAGCCCGGCCCGAATTTACTTAAATATAGAAATTAATGTAATTACTCGAAATAAAAGACATATGTTATATGGCATCTAGTTCTATAAATAAAATCAAATATTTTTATTTTACATAAAAAATTCAATATAAAAATTGATAAATTTGGATATATTTAAAAAATTTTAGGGCCCGACCCGACCCGGCCCGAATTTTTTTAAAAAATATTAGACGCAACCCGGCCCGAACCCGATTTTTTTAAAAAAATTTGCCGCACTTTTGCAGATATCTAATTCAGAGTATGAAGAAATCTATAAAATTTAAATCCCTTATAGCGCACATTTTCATGAAATTTTAATAAATTTGATTTACCAGTTGTATTCCAGTATGTGTATGTTACCTACCTTAAGAATTTCAGACAAGTTCTTATTTTTGGCTCAGGGTTGGTAATACACATTGGAAATCTACAACGTCCTGGTTTAGAGGCAGTCGAGCTAAAAAAAATTTAAATGTTGGGCAAGCGAGTTAATTTAAAACATCTTATGTGTGGAATAAGCAGGGTGGACCTATATTTGTTAAATAATTAATCTTTTATTTATAACGCATATTATAAGTAGGAAAAAAATGTATTAAAAGACTATGTCCAAGATAAAACATTAGAAAAGTTTCACACCTCTCGCAAATTTTATATGTTAAATTTTTAAATTATGTTTTGGACATGTATTAATATTTATATCTAAAATAGTTTATTTATTTATTTTCATTAAAGTTTCGAAAGTTTGTGAATTAAATTTTTTGATATTTTGGACACAACCTAAAATAGAATAAATAAAGATTCAAACTAGCCAATCATATGATTTTCTAACATAGGGTTGGACAAATAAAACTTTATAAAAAATGGGAGTTAGTGTAACATTTTTTAATATATGAGCAAGCGGGTCAAAAAAAATCAAGAGAATGGGAGGGTAATTTAAAAAATTATTTATGTAAACCAGGTTGAAAACCTGCCCATGTAGAGTTGCATAAAAACCCGACCATTGCAGTCAGTTAAAAGAGCTTATTGTACACCTTTAATACACACGTTGGAATATAATTCCGCCAATATTAAGCATTTTTTAAAAAAAAGTACCCTATCGTGCAATACCGGATTAATCATAATACCTAACGATATGAAGCAAAAATATTGTTATGCTTAATTTAATTGTCAAAGTTAAGGAAAAAACACAAGCTTTAATTTATGGCTAACAAAACTAAACTATTTTTTTAAAATTATAATTTAAATATATATATGATTATAAAAGTAAAACCAGAAAAATATTAAGTTTAATTTTTGTTTAACATATAATATTTATGCTCTATGTTTTTTCTGTCTAAATATTTTTCCGAGGACATCAAAAACCGCGATATCCCTGGTCTAAGCTTAAAAAACAGAGGGGGCTCCCATCTTTCTTTACTCTTAAACCATTGATACCGTCATACTTGATATTTGTCTGGTTCCTGCTAGCCGTCAGCTTTTTCCACCTGGCAAAATGGCGCTTCATGCACTGCTAAATTTCTTTCTTGGCCTAGTGCGCTTATCAAAGTTTGAAAATCTTCAAAAAACCCTACGATTTAATGGTCAAATTAGTTGCTGCTAGGGCATCTTTGTTGGACACCAAATTCAGAGTTATGATTGATTCATGGGCACTTGTTGTCTCGTTTTAACTCTAGGCCATCCCTCCAATTGTTCGTACCATGCAGGCATTCAAAACATCTTTAATTATTTCTCCCTCTCAGTGTATCCTCCGTTCGATGTACTATTCCGTTCGACTCATTGGTTTCTCCAATTCTTTCACCAAGTCTACTTTATTTACTTCTTTTACCAAATAACGTTATTTAATTTTTTTATTCCGTCTACTGGCTCTGCTGCGCTCAAACGAGTTCATCTATACCAACTACGACCAGTCAAAAAGTTATTACCATAGCTATTATAATTACATTCCAATAAATTAAGAGAAACGTCGCTAAAAGATGGGCAACTCCCAAACAGTATATGAAATTAGTCAGGGGGTCATACCTAACAATGAATAAGCCACATTATTCCACATATAAAGCCCCCCCCCCTTCTCTTATTCAAATCTTTTAAAACGATATTTATCAAAAATTTACGGGAGTTATGGTAGCTAATATTTTTATTTTAGACAAATCTTAGTTGGTCTGAATTAAACCGTTCGAGGCAGCAGAGTCGGAAGACGGGGTAAAAGTAAATAATGTTGACGTATTCTAAATTTTGTAAATGGCGGCATGGTTATTACATTCGAAAGAATTACCTTTAGTGAGAACTAGATAGCAACGGCCCATGGATAATCCTAACAAACCTAAATGAAATAAGTTATATTATTACTATATATTTTTTTTAACATAATTTCAAAAGGATATTGAAAACATAACAAGCAAAATTAATTTTAAATGAGCCATCATGAGCTCTTTCAACTAGTTAATTGATATAATTTGAATTTATTTAAAATATTTCTACCCAGCCCAGGTTTATATATTTTTTTTACGAGTTTATTAATTTTCCAGCCAAACGGTATTTGTTCCCCTCTAAAGGTGACCCTCTTCTTCCCCCTTTCCTTCGACCTTCCTTCGCCCAACCCGACTGTCGAAGGCTTATCCCTTTTTATTTTTACTTTTTACAGTTAATAGCCCGAGAGAACGCGGCATAATAATATATAATAAAGGACAATTAAAGTATAAAAATATCCAAAGCCTACAGGCTCAGTGCTAGGGCTGGGAAGTATGTCCAATCCCCGGAGTGTGCCGTGAAATCGAAATGGAAATATTTTAAAAGTTTGATCCAGGGCACAAATTTTACAAAATATAATGAAATTATATTCATTAACTCATTCTGCTGCTCATATTACCATGGTTTACTAGTTAAGGAATAAAATCCAGGCTCATACCAACCCCGATTTAGCACCATATCATAACTCTGTCTCCCTTAATAAATAATCATTTTTAAAAACCAAAAAATAACTAAAACTTTTTGTAATATGAAATTTTAAATAAAAATGAACCTCATAAAATCGAAATTTTTTGAAAACATTTTTTTATTTCTTTTATGTGTTATAAAAATTGTAGACAGATTTGATACATTTTTAAAATAATTTAAATTTCGGTCAAAGTATTATAATTTCAATATTTACCATAATTGATATTTTAGATAGCCTTGAGTTAAAGGTTTTTCTCAAATTTATGTGATTGCCACTTTGAGAAAAAAAAGGAAACATTTATTATTTGATTATATCTAAATAGGATTTAAAAAAGATACAATCAGAAACTTAATTATAAAATTTTTCTGGAGAGTTCGCAAGGAAATTGCACATATCAAATTATTATTCGTCATTTTT